CGGAAACTTCTGTTTCAATCTGTTTCAAATTTTAAAAGTAACATATAATGGTCACTTGGAATCTGCTTTATACTTTGATTTAATTACAGTCTTCTGTTTATAAGTGATAACCTAGTCACATATTCATACTTTTAAGTAAAGGCTAGATAATGCCATCTTAGAAAGGAAGGATCTGTTTAAACTATATAAAATTAGATAAACAATTTGGTCTATTAAATGAGAATGTCATTTGCATATAAAGGACATGTTCAGTTTTACATAGCATGATAACAACTATAGCTACTACAGTGAAATGTGGTTAATGGAAGTCAAGCATTTTGTAGAATGCTTAAAGATTTAATGCCCTCTTGTTTCTCTAGTTAGATAGCAACTATATTTTCCAGATAGGCAAGAAAATATATGAGGCATTCCTTATAATTTTAAAAGTAGCTAGCACAATCCAACCATGCAAAACTCTTGAAATAGCTTTCAATGCAATGATTCCAAAGTGATCAAGGTATTTGAAGAGCAAAAATGCCTTAAGTAGAATGGAAATCCAGGTAAGTGGACATCTAGATTGAATTTGTTACAAGTGGTATATTAGCAAACACTAGAAAAATGAAATGGAAGAAATACACCAATTCCCATTATTTCATGTAAAAATATAGCTAACTATAAATATTAGCACATGAATACATGTTTTAAAGTGTTGTTTCTTAAGATGTCTTTGTCTGATTTTATCAGGGTAATACTGCCCAAATAAAATGAGTTGGGAAGTATTTCCTCCTCTTCTATTTTCTGGAAGAGATTGTATAGAATTGATACTATTTCTCTCTTAAGTGTTTGGTAAAATTCACCACTGAAGTTATCTGAGCCTGTAATTTTCTTTTCTGGGAGGATTTTTAACTACAAATTCAATTTCCTCAATAAATACAAGTCTATTCAGGTTATTTATTTCTTCAGTGAGCTTTGGTAGTTTGTATCTTATAAGGAATTTGTTTTGTCTAAGTAGCTAAATATATATATCTAGAGTTGGTATTAGTGTTTTCTAATTATCCTTTTAATATCTACTGGGTCTGTACTGTATCCCCTCTTATTTCTGATACTGTTAACTTACATTTTCTGTTTTCCTAGTCAATAGCTAAAGGCTTATCATCTACTGATCTGAAAGCACTTTTAATGCACTCAAGATAGTTATACTAGAAACTTTAACTTCTTAGTCAACACTGGATAAGAATGACTAATTTTAATTAAGGATCTACTCTTTTTTTTTTTTTAAATCACAGTCATAACTTCTATGCGATTAATAGTCGTCCTTCATTCTGTATCACACTCGAACACTAGGAGCTGATTCTAACTTCATGAAAAATTAAGTTGGGTTAGATGGAATATTGGAGATTTAATCTTAGAGGGTCTAAGGTTTAAGTCCTGATCTTCTCTGGCCAGAACTATGGATTCATATAGATCTTTATTTTAGCTTTAGCGCAGGGGCTTAGTATTTGCTGGTCTAAGTGAGAAATCTCTAACCTGGTGTTGCTCTAAATCAGAGTCCTTGAATCTACATCAGAACCACCCAGTGTGCCATTTAAAATGGCATTTCTAGGCCTTATTGTAGGACTTACTAAATCAAAATTGAAGGTGTGGCCGTGAATCTGCATTTTTAATGAATTTCCTAGGTGATTCTTACAGTGAAATTATAGAACCACTGTTTTCTATTGTCATGAAGAGAAAAAGAAAAAGTTGGTTTTTAAACTTCTAAATACCAAATAATTAGTCTTTAGAGGAGAACAGTTATAGCAAGGCCCAATCATTACCACTATTACTGATTTAATTTTATATTACTTTTTTAGTTTTCCCTCACAATACTTTTGAAATCATTTACAAGTGAAGCCCCACTTCACTAATTTCATGATTAATAAACAAAAAATTTCAGGTGGAATTAGATCTGTCTCATCCATCACTGTAATTAATACCTAATGCCACTTCTCTTAACTACTAATATGGCATCTAATTCATAATAAAATACTTAAATCTCCTGTTATGTTTAAATTGCATCAAATTTAAATTATGTTAAGCATAAGACTGGCATGCCAAGCCAAATGATTACAGAGAATTACATGAACAAGCAATGTTAGTGACAGATGTGTTTTTTTATCTATCAAATAATTACTAAATTTTTTAAAACTCAGTGTTTATGGGCACATAATTAAATGCCACTTAGAATATCCTTAAGACCAAGCCTCTGGCTTATTTAAATATAGGTATATTTGATAGTTTCCAAGGTAAGGTTACCACTGGGGAAATTGTGATAATTAAGTCAGTTATATCACTGATCTAACCAGTGCCATTAAGGATTTCTAAATGTATTTTATTACGTACTTAGCATAAGTGGGCACGCTAATGTTATCCATACCAAACTGCAGACAAGATGAGTTAAGATCTACGCAGAAAACCTGAGCATCCTACCTTTGCTTTGTATACATTCACATTATTTTTTCTTTTCAAACCATCCATTGCACTGAATGCTACTTTCTACCAGCTCTTAAGATTCCCTGTCATTCATCAGAACAAACAGCATTAAAGATGATACTGGCTCCCATGTTATGTATTCATTACTGATAGCATTTATCAAAGCTAAACCTAGATAACAAATGTCTTCTCTCCTGAAAAGCTGCTCAATGGCAAGTATCCTTCTTCTAAACCAGCATGGGAAACCTTTTGGTCATCTCCACTCACAAAACTTTGCTTAAAGGAATTCGGAGCTAAAGAATTCACCAATAAGCAGCCCTACTGTTCAATAAATACACTCTGCTATTAAGTCTAATATACAAATATGATAAAAGTTTGAAAATGGAACTTTGTTCCAGTGCTATATTGGCACTTAACATGGCTACTGATCATTCGTTTCCAAAGAAGTCACGTTATGCTCAAGTCTTTCAAAGATCAGATATGGTGTTTTGTTTGTTGTTTTTGTTTGGGGGTTAGGGGTACTATCTACAGGGAATACTTCAGAGCCAGAAACCACTTGCATTCTGGGCTAAGGTCCCTGGTCAAATCAGGAATGCTCTTCAGTGCTGCTGCTGAATGATCTGCTCCGGATGTGATTTCTCAGTTGCTCTATAAGTTCAGGATTCTGTTGTTGTATCTGCTGAGCAAACTGCTGTCCCCTGTAGTAAAGAGGCAAAGTAGTATGAACAGGGAATTGCCAGTCACGTAGTACCCACACAAAAAGAACTGCAGAAAAAGAACTACCCAGAGGGCGCTTTTCTATAAAAATAAGTTTTAGCACCACAACTTTAGTATCTGCAAGTTTATCAATGCCTCTGTATAGCATTATTACATTACAGTGTTCTTTATAAGAAACAAAACACCCAAGCTAAGAAATGAGTGCCTGAATTAGGTGAAATCTACCCGGCTAGTGCTTAATCACAAATAAGCAAAGGGCTAAAAACATGCTTTTATTGTATGTGCTCAAACACAATGCTTTTGTAGTTAAGTCTTAATAGTCTCTCATATGACATGTCAGTTTGGGATGCTTACAGAGGTCACCTAACAACTAATTTTAAAAATGCAAACAAGTTTAACCCAAATTCCTGAGTGTGGCACTCTCAATTGCATCATTATAACCATGCCACTTAAAGATAATTCTAAAAATGCAATATTCTAAGCGGTTACATGGTCCTGATCACAAACAACAAATGATATTTGTGGCTTCATATAAAATTTCCAATGACAGCATCAGACACATTCAAAAAACAAAGTATCTTAAGTAATCTGGATGGAAGTGAAGCTAATGTGCTCAAGTAAAAGATAAAAGGACTTTAAGTGTTGACAAGCACTGAAAAAGTTTGAATAGTTTCCTAAATTGTCTGAACATTAAAATATGTAACATGATTTTAAAGTATGTTTGTGTACCTAAATTAATATAGATTTTAAGTAGACAATTGAATTTCATCTGCACCCGAGGAGTTACTTTTTCTTTGATCTTCGTTGGGAAAAATGGGGGATAAACTGCTTTATATATGAGATCACAATATATTTAGGCATATGATTTTTACAGTTTCTCTCCATGCCCTTGAAAGTACCAGGTTACCAATCCTTAGGACCTTCTGTACATAAAGATGATAGTATTGGTATCCCCACTTAAGAAACTGAGGACTCTAATTTCATACTAACATAATCAAGTAACAAAAAATTAGGCCGCAAATCAAAAGACTAAATGTGGACCTAGTTTTTCCATGGATGCTCTAACACCCTTAGTAAGTCACCAACCTGTACATCAGTTTCCTTAGCTATTGCATAGGGATGTAAATTATCTATTATTCTAATATCTCCCTCACCTGCCTTATTGAGATGGTAGGGAAAAAAAAAAAAAAAAGCATATTGAATACATAATTACTTTCCTCAAGAGACAGCTGGCCAGACAACCCAGGTCTGGATCCCTTCCCTTCAGTCTGGTAAGTGATTTGAAACTATGAACTACTTTAAGATTTGGTAACTTTAAGGAGGCCAATGAGCCCTGGTCGCTTACCTTAGAGACAAACTGTAAAATATAAAATACATTTCCACTATTTCAGTTTTTAAAAAATACTTACGCTTGGATGAGGCTTGACAGGTCAGTGAGGCCCCCAACTCCAGCAGCAGGTCCGCCAATGGCATTTGTCATCATTCCTGACATTCTAGAGTATGCAAGAGACATATCACTGGGACTGGCATATATTCATAATAAATAGGATAATTGGCCAAGGAAAAGTAAGTAAAATATACTCACATTATATAAGAAGTTAAGCCAAATGTGTGTGGCTTTAACTTAAAAATGACTGATATTTAGGGTAGTTTTATCATTTTTGAGCTAATGTGCTCAAATTAGAACCCTGGCAAGTAGAAGGGGGAAAATGTAGTAAGTTCCTTCTATATACTTACAGCTGTTGAACTTGAGGGTTCTGCATTAAACTTGCTGCCTGAAATTGAGAAATAGCACCTCCCATTAAAGGTAGTTAATATTCAGGGATTTTTAACAAAGATTTTTTTGAATAGAGGAATGAAAGCTAAACCATGTATATACTAACATTTTTGTGGAGTTTTAGTGTCCTATACAAAGTAAATGGAAATGTAAAAAGGAAGAGCTACTAGAAAAAGTGACAATAAAAAGACTTTGCAAGGATAAAGAGATTACAAAACACTATAAATTAAGGTTATTGACAGCAGTTTACTTACTACTACTGTTCAGATCAATTAAGCTACAAGGAAAAATAGAAACTTTATAGTTAAAGAATCTCCAACACTTGAGAGGGTCCACTCTACCAGAGTACTCTTAAGAGATGTGACTTTGCTCCGTGGGCCCAGTAGTTTCAATCCTTCCTGTACTTACGGTGGGGTAATTATATGCACACACACTTTTAAAACTTCTTGAAAGCATACCTTTTTTTTTTTTTTTTTTTGCCTCAAATTGGTACTGTCAATAATATCCCTATAAAATTTGAATTTAGTCTCAATCTTTGCAGAGAGTACTTAATTTTTATTTGCTGACCCTAAATGAGGTGTTGAGCAGAACCACTGCTTGCTTTTATTACCAGAAAGATAATTGTTTGACTTGCAAATAATTCAATAACTTTCCTCAAGTCTCAGTCCAGATTGGTGCCTCTAAGCCTACCCATGAGTACTATGGGAATTACATAGAAAAAGCAGGATTTATGAGCTGTAAACATAAAGCATTTCATTTCACAATCCCTTTAAACCTGTTCTATGAAAGTAGTTCTTCCCCTTCTCCCAGAATCTAGGACCTAGAAGTTTAGAACAGATTCTATGACTTTTCTGGTCACTTTTAAGTAAGCAGTCCTCCTGTCACTGTAAATTATAAAATGACCGCCAGTTCAGTAATTAATGACTCAGTGTAATAACCAAATACATAAAAGTTCATTTACAGGTAAAACGTTTCCTCTCCCCAGCATGGGCATGCTAGAGATTGGCCAGTTGCAAGTGGCTGCTCTTTTTCCAATAGTGCTTCTACTCTTCTTTCCTCAGCTTCGTGACCTAGAGTTCTGGCCCTCCGGGGTCAGGGTCACGTGGAGGGAAGAGAGGTAGAGGGAGCAGGAGAGTTCTTATTTGATGATTGGTACTATCTTACTGGTTTTGCATTGGTGCTCTTTGGGTTTGCAAGGTATTTAAAAGTACCCTGGTTCTCTCAGGGGGCACTTTCTGAGACATTTTCTTCAGGCACTTCTTTCATCCCCATCCCCCTGGGGATTTCTCATCTATTCTCTCAGAAGGGTAATTTACTCTCTGGATGAATGTTAGGACTTTCCCTTCAGTCTCTGGTTCTTAGCAGTCCTCCAGAGACTCTCTGTGTTGGGGTCTTGTCACCTTCCAGGAAGCCCTCCTGGGCACAGTTAAGACAAACTATCTCACCAGTGTGTGTGCTCACCTGGTCCACAGGAAACACACCTCTGCTCCACTGTTATCAACATAGTAACCACAGACACCAAACCACACAGCTAATTCTGCCACTGGCTTCTTTAACTGGCAAGTCAGATATCAGTTCACTGGCTTTCCTACTGAGGACCAGAGAGAAAGCTCTCTAAGTGGACCAAAAGAACCCTTTCTCAATGGGCTTGAGATGAGGGCAGGCCTCCCTACTTCCTTCAGACATGGAGCACTGAAACTCCAATAGCTCTCTCTAAAAATCCTTTTTTAATCTTTGTCAATCTGACCCTTTTTAAACCCTTTTTAAGAGGCACAAAACATGTTTTTAACCCCCATCTTTTGCAACTCCTACACGGTGGTCTCACACCTTATTTTGGTACATAGCAGCTTTGAACCTAAGCCAAATCTAAAACTAAAAGAATTCCATTTTCACAACCTTTTACAATACCATAACCTGAGATTTCTGGAAATGGGTAACCATGTTTAAAAATGTCACAAAACCTACCAAAAAAGACATGTATTTGCTAGCATGTAGGTAGGAAGACTGACTCAAATTTGATGAGGGGGAGAAAAAACCTACCAATTGTTCAAAAGACTTCTTTATTTCACTGGGAATGAGTCATCTGTGCAGTCTGTGCATTTCAGTTCAACTGAAGATTTAATGAATGCAAGACACATTTTTTGAAGGAAACAACGATGTATAAGAACTCATTCCTGCCTTCCAAGGGCATACCATGTGGTAGAATAGTTTTCGTCCAAAGTATACAGTGTTTACATGCCCAGGTAACATCCTAGGCCCACTAAATCAAAGTTACCACCTATTGGACCACAGCATGTGTCTTTTCAAAAGGCCCATAAGTTATTTTGTTGGTTTGAAGAATAGAGTACATATTTATGAAACATATTAAAAGCACAAAGAAACTCTTAAAATAGAAAACAAGACAGACAATGCTAAGGGGCCAGTTTAGGGAACCACTATGGCCAAATACTCAGACCTCAATTGTTAGATATCTTCCTAGGACCACTTTTATGTAAGAGAGTAGTTTTTAATCTTTCATATATTTGCAAGCCCCTGTGCCAATCTGATGAAAAATATGGTTCTCTCCTAGAAAAAATGCACATATACACAGCTATACAAATTTATATATATATGATTTTGGGAAGATCTATGGGCTTTCCCACAGTACACAGACAGGTTAAGAACCCTGCCATACCCTTACATCAACACTCTAATATGACCACCACCACAAAAGCTCTCTTATTTGTTTCTAAAAAGTTTTGGAACTACATAGCTCTATGAAAAATAGAACCAGTAGAGCAGAAAAGAAAATATACTCACCATACTAATGAAGGCTGGATTATTTATCAAGCTAGCCATGTCAAAGCTCAAGCCAGTTCCAGTCTATAAAACAATTGTATCTGAGAATCAGTCCAACTACTACAATTTCATTACAATAAATTGTGAGTGACAGAAAATATTTCACTCATTTGGCATTAACAACTTACAGGACTAGATACCTCTCTTAACTTCTGTTCTGCTATTTTCAGGTTGGATTTATAGGAATCATTTTCAGGATCAAGATCTAATGCCTTTTGATAACTTGTAACTGCTTCTTCAAATTTATTCATGGCAGTGAGGGCCAGCCTGAAAGGAATACAGAGTAGAAGATATGTGATTAAAGAACATCAGGACATCCAAAACATAGTCAAACATCTGTCTTGGCACTCAGTTCTAATCTGCATGGCATTTAATTTATTCCTTGTATTATGGTTCACAGGATTATCATTAAAATTCCCTCTAATTCCAAGATTTTGTAAGTCTGAACTCTCTCCATTTTACTTACTGACAACCTTGGCTGTCCTGTGAATCATGAGCTTAATGCTTAGAGATCAACCTTACCTACTCTTCCATTTTTTAAGCCTAATATGTGAAATAATTTGCTGTATGAACCCCTAGAGTGAGCTCCACAAAAATGTGAGCTGACTAACAAGCTGGTGGTTATCTAAATCCGTGATGCAGCCTGAGCAACGCAGCTGGACCCCGTCTCTACAAAAAATAGAGAAATAAGCTGGGCACGGTGGCGTGTGTCTATAGGACCAGCTACTCGGGAGGCTGAGCCAGGAGGATCGCTTGAGCCACTGCACCCAGCCTGAGACGCTATTTTAGATACCGAGGATTCTACAATGAAAAAGATAAAGTTCCCGACTTTAAGACAATTTCATTCTACCTGGGGGAGAAAAGCAACAAACATGCAAATTAAAAGGGCAATATTAAAGGGAATGAATAGGAAAGCTGTTCATAATTGGCCACACTGAAAAGACCTGAGTGATGTGAAGAAAGCAGCCATATGGAAATCAGGAGAGGAGCATTCTAATAGAAGCAGTGGTACACACAAAGGCTCTGAGGATGCAAGCTTGGTATGCTTAAAGTACACAACAAAGGCTGATGAGGAAAGACTGTAGAAAACAAAGTGTGGAGAGATGATGTCAGAAAACAATTAGGTACCAGATCATACAGGGACCATTGTTTGGAGTTTGGACTTTTTTCTGGCTATAATAAAGTAACATGATCTGCCTGGGTGTGGTTTATGCCAGGAATCCCAGCACTTTGGAAGGCCAAAGCAGGAGGATTACTTGAGACCAGGCGTTTGAGACCAGTCTGGGAAATATAGCAAGACCCCATCTCTACAAAAAATTTTAAAAATTAACCAGGCACAGTGGTACATGCCTATAGTCCCAACTACTAGGGAAACTGAAACAAGAAGATCACTTGAGCCCAGGAGTTTGAGGCTGCAGTGAGCTATGATGAGGCCACTGCACTCTAGCCTGAGTGACAATGAGACCTTGTCTCTTAAAAAAAAAAAGTAACACAATCTGATTTGTGCTTTAGAAAGATCACTCTGGCTTCTAGGCAGAGCATTGACATGGGTGGGGGGTGGAGTGGAGGCAGGGAGACCACTTAGGAAGCTAATGCCTAGGTAAGAGAAGTAGTTTGGACTAGGGCTACAAGTAAGATAGCAATCAACACTTGGATTCACAATGTACATGGAAACTAGAATTAATAGGACTTACTGATATAAGCACTTGAGTGCCTAGGTAAGAGAAGTAGTTTGGATGAGGGCTACAAGTAAGATAGCAATCAACATTTGGATTCATAATATACATGGAAACTAGAATTAATAGGACGTGCTGATATAAGCACTTGTGCCAGGTATAATGAGAATGAAAGATGACTCCCAGGCTTTTGACCTGAGTACTGGGTAGATGAATGACAGTATGATTTACTGAGATGGGAAAGATTTAAGAGGGAAATAGAGTTCTGTTCAAGACTTGTTAAGTTTAAAATGCCTGTTAAACATCCAAATATGGAGATGAGAAATAGTTAAATATATAAGTATGGATTCAAACATAAACTTAGGAGATCCAATAACAATTATAGTTGATTCTCAGTCATAGAAGTTATGTTCTATAAAGTCACCATGAACACTGAAACAGCAAATTATCCTAGGGGAAAATTATCCTAGGGGAAATACAGGGTTAGGTTCCTGTGAACCTCTGGTCACATTTTCATCAACCAATCAATACATAACCTTGTTTTATGTGTTTCTGTTTTAAGAAACCTTATTTAATATACATATTCTTTTTTTTTTTTTTGAGACAGAGTCTTGCTCTGTTGTCCAGGCTAGAGTACTGTGGTGTCAGCCTAGCTCACAGCAACCTCAATCTCCTGTTCTCAAGCAATAGTCCTGCCTCACCCTCTCCAGTAGCTGGGACTACAGGTGTGTGCCACCACATCCAGCTAATTTTTTTTTATTTTTTGTAGAGACGGGGTCTCATTCTTGCTCAGGCTGGTCTCTAACTTCTGAGCTCAAGTGATCCTCCTGCCTCAGCCTCCCAGAGTGCTAGAATTATAAGCGCAAGCCACCACACCCAGCCTAATGTACACTTTTGATTCATTAGCATTGAACTCATGCCAACAGCACTAACTCCAGTCTGAATGAAACTTATTTCACACATCTATTTTCTCCATAAGGCACATTACAGCCTTTTTGCACTTACGAACACTAGACAACATTTTAGCCTATATTTGGGGGCCACTGTAAACAGCAAAATCGCAAACAAAAGGCACAAAATACAAAAATGTAGCAATAAATAGACCTCCAACATGAGAGCCAAAACAAAAAGGCAGAGCATTGCCTAATTCAACCTCAGCTGAGATCTTGCACATCAGGAGACTCAAATTTTTCACTGTTTGTGCAAGCCCATGAATGCTGAGGTCTGATGGCAGGAGAAGATGGATGCCCCAACTTAAGCGGAGAGAGTGAATTCACCCTTCCTCCACCTATTTGTTCTATTTGGGCCCTCAAAGGATCAGATGGTGCCCACCCACATCGGTGAGCGTGATCCTCTTTACTCAGTCTGCAGATTCAAAAGCTAATCGCTCCTAGAAACACCCTCACGGACACACCAAGAAATAATGTTTTGTCAACTATCTGGGCATCCTGTAACCCAGTCAGGTTGAGAAAATTAGCCACCACAGTGACACAGACAAAAGCCTGATTGGAGTGAGCTGAAGAGAGAATGAGAGGATGGAGTCAAGATGGCAAGGGAAGACAACCATGAGGGGCTTTGCAGAGGAAGAACTGTGAAATGAGATGGGAGCTAGAGGGAAACTCTGGGTAAAAGGATGGTTCCAATGAATGATTTTTTTATGACCTTTCGCATGCTAGTCATTATCATCTATTAGAGATGGAAAAACTAAGATATGGAAGATAAAGGGGATAATAACAATTGTAGAGTCCTGGAGGAAAAAAGGCATTCTGTGTAGATACAAATGCAGGTAGATTGGTAGATCTGGAAGTAGGAAGATGAGTTACTTTTCTTCAAAATGCATCTGTTTTCTCAATTAAGTGTAAGGCAAAGTCATCATCTGAGTTGTTAGGGGAGGAACAGAATGTGGAGAAGGTAGTGAAATTCTGAAGGGAGAGGAGGAGGTATGAAACAGTCACATCAGAGAGTGGAAAGGTGAATGTAAAAGGAAGTGTAGTAGAATTGTCTGCCAACATTGAGTGCTCGTCTGAGGTTTGTGGTCATGGACATGAAATGAATCTCCTAAGAGGGTTGTATGATTTTCTCCAACAACCAAATCAGTCATCAAACAACTAATCATCTCACTCCCAAATCACAGAAATTGCAGTCGTTTCCTCTCTTACGTTTTATTTATCTTTTTATTAGTTCAGAGGGTACAATATTAGGCAGGAAATTCAAAACCAAACCATTAAGAACAGTATATTCAATACTACCTTGTACGACTTTGAACATTCTCCCAGAACTTACCCCATTCTCCCATACGCCTTGCTGTACTTTGAATCAATTGCTATTGCTTTTTCACAATCCTTTATCGCATCTGTATAGTGACCTAATTTGCTTTGAGCAGCAGCCCTAAGAGAAAGAAGAGATTTTTATTATAAGCAGCTTTCGAGGCATGAATTTACATTTTCAGGTACTAATGAAATTACATTTCCTTGTCCCAACTTGTAGATCATTCCCAGTAAAGTTCTAAGCAAACTAAGATAATTATATAATCAAATGGAAAAAAAAAAGCTTAGAAACTTCTGTTCAGACAAAAAAAATATGCAGGCTGTCTTTCACTATTTGCTTTGCTATAGAAAAGACAAATATGCAAGTCATACAACTAATCTACCTCCATACTGCCTTTCTAATTTGCCCAAACTGAAAATGGAAAACAATAGGACATCTGAGGTTCCACGGAGGCACACAGAGTAAGTGACTGCTGTGAGTGACTACACAGAGTGCTGTGCTGTTAACTAACCACTTTCACAGAAGGGTTAACGTGCCAGCAATGTTCCAGTCCTCTGGCACTTTCTCCCATTCATTCATTTCTGAGGCGGACTAAACTTTACTTCTTTCAGTCTTCCAGAAGTCCTCGGAATCTTGCTCCTCAGCAAAAGGTCGAAAAAGCCAACTTTGGAAAAAGAACATTTGCACAGACTGAAATCTCTGTAACTGTGACCTCTCCTCAATAAGGCTTCCATTATTAGGAGTAAGAAGAATTAACTCAGAGGAGAAACTGGAAAGGAGAAAAGCAGCTCCAAGGTCGATGCTCAGAAGACAGTGTGGGTGCCAGCAATCAGGAAACAATAGATGGCTCTTGGATCAGGACTGAGGGCTCATGTCTCGCAACTACAAAGTAGAATGCTTGTTGCATGCAGCCCCTGTGCCTCAAATGCTGCAACTCCAAGACCGGGCACCCTCTCTAATAATAAAGGTAAGGAAGCACTCTCTGAAAAATATTGCTTGTGAGCCCAGAAATTGACTTAGGCTCCTTCATGTTCTTAAGTCTATAGACAAAAGTCCCACGCTACCCGAAACTCTCTGACCCCTTGGTCCTCTCCCGCTGCAATATGACAAGCACTGCTCTTGCTACCTTTATTCTTCTCTCTTTATCCACATTTGTTGTTTTAATTGTCCTAAAAAACTTTTTGTTTAAACACCTAGTGAATCATCTCTCTTCCTTGAAATTAATCAATGGTCATTTCTTCCAGGAACCTAGCTGGACTCTAACAGGCACACATGGAAACAATAAGACTGATTAAAACACCATCTATCTTCCAGTACCAGTGAGGGTCCTCACTGATGCTCTGCATTCCCTAAGTATCTTCCAATCTCCTTCTGTCCATTGAACTATAGATGAGAATTATCTAATACTAATTTCTATGTCATATCAAGTTTACTAGTGTACTCCACAAATACTGAATGTGCATAATAATAGATCAATTATTTGTTAAGGGAGGAACAGAACGTGTTATGTAAAACCAATCCTGGACAGAGCTAAAAGTAATACTGCCAATTCTGGAAGTTGAACCTGGGAATACAAACCTAGCTCACTGCTACCTCAAACTCCTGGGCTCAAGTGATCCTCCTGCCTCAGCCTCCCAAGTATCTGGGATTACAGGTGTGTATCACCATGCCCGGCTAATTAAAAAAAATTTTTTTGTGTGTAGAGACAGGGTCCCACTATTACCCAGGCTGGTCTCCAACTCCTGGCCTCAAGCAATCCTCCCACCTTGGCCTTCCAAAGTGTTAGGATTACAGGCATGAACCACTGCACCCAGCCTGAGACAGATTTTTTTTTAATGATTTTATTACATATTATAAGCATAGACACCGGCAGGGTCAGGGGCTTGTCCACAAAGTGAGGATGAAATCTATACTAAGACTAGATCTTATCTCTAATTCATTAGGCAAGGCAATCCTATATCCTCATTCTTTCAGGCCTAGAATCTGATCTATCATTGATATCTCATTTCTGTAAATTTGCCAAAGGTGATTTTATAGAACAGCAAATCCCCCAATCTCACTGCTTTTCTGCCGAGGGCCTTTTTTTCTAATCACTTTATGCACATGTCTCCATGCACAGAATCATGTATGAAGGGTAAAAGGGTTATTAATGGAAGGATAGAAGGAGGGAAGTTCTGAAAAAGGGGAGAAAGAACTGTGGTTTACAAAAACAGAAACATCTATACCTAAACATTTGCTAAATGCCTTTAGGAAACTGCAAGGTAATACTTGTCTTTAGAAACCTGAATTGTGATTTTTAAAATATAATCAGAAAATGAATCCCCTATACATAATACATAGGACTTAGCATACTCTGAGCATCTTAAATGTTATATAGCAAAAGTTTTCAATAATACCACATGGATTGTATTTTATGTTGTTAACATATGGCTACATTCATGATATAATGTTAACTGCATATTTTTAATTGCATTTCTTTGTTTAATTAAATTTTATCTTTAATAAATGTATACTCATACCTTCCCAATACACTAATTCTCATTCTACAGGTACACATAACATTACCATATATTAAGATTATCTAGCAATTTTAAGGTGAAAAATAAAAACTTACCTGTGTGTCTAAATCTGGCTGTAAATTAAGGATGGCAACTGTTCCATCTACTTTGTACAGAGCAATTAAGGACCATTTATCTGACCTGTTAACCTTTGCTAAATTACCTCTAGCACAAAATTCTCCTAAAATGACTGAGAACAATGCCAAACAAGTATAATTATTGTTCACACACAAGTCCTTCAATTGAAAGTTTCCATGATGTCTCCTGCCCTCCATCCCACTACCACTCCATTCATTCTTCTCCAGATTAAATATTTCTACTTATTCATTCAACTTATACACCTACTGAGGTCCAGCTTATGCACAAACACTTTTCCAAGAATATGGATACAGCAATAAGCAAAGTAATACTGCTGTCCTCAACAGTGCTTAGATTCTAGTGAGGGCAGGCAGGGCCTGACAGACTACAAAGAAAAGATGCTTTGAGTCTAGCTTTCAACCTTTCTTCATACAGCACGACAGAGACACTTCTCAGATTAATTATAAAAATTTTGTTTACTAAAAGATAAACATAGTTCTTTGCTTCAGTTAAAAAAACTTAAATTTGATAGTGTAGCATTCAAACAAACCTGTTTTAGCAGTTTATATGAAAAAGAGGTATGGGTTTTGTTTACTTAATACTCAACATGAAGTAACAGCATGACAAGAATAAGATATGGAATGTACAACTTCCAAATAATTAGAAATAAAAAAAAATGAAGCAAAGAAAATTCAACCAGTCCAATAAAAGTGAGAAAAGGGCAGGAGAAGCCAAGAAAAAGGATGCTTAAAAAAAATAAGATAGTAGAAAACAATTCAAACTTATCAGCAACCACAAAGTTGCCCATATAAAACTGAGATTGTCTTGAATGTCATGCTGTACTATAGAAAAACAAGAAACAAAAAAACAAAACTAAGGTTCTCAACTTGGATACAAAAGATATCACCTAAAACATAATCACACACAAGTTGAAGTTAAAGAAAGAAAGACAATCAGACAAACTGAAAACCAAGCAAAAGCAAGCTGGTGATGAAACATTAATATCAGCCATAAGGCAAAGAACATTAAGGATAGAAAGAGCCATTATTTATTAATCATCCTTTGTGATTTCATTTTACATGGCTCAGAAGTGAAACCTACAGTAAGTCTCATTCTCATCCTATGGGGGTGGGTGGGAATGGGGTAAATGGGGTAGAAATGGGAAAGAGACTTCAAAAAGGATGAAAAGCAAACCACCTTCAAACTGGGTAAAACAGAAACAAAAGATCCTAACTGTATAGCAAGAAGCAAGAATTCAAGTAACTTTCAAACGCAGTATTCTGAATATATATCCTTAGTGAGATGTATTCTAAAAGAAAAGAAAAACTGCAAAGAAATCCTGCAGTTTACTTAGTAGGCTTGTTAGAGGTGTAATGTTGGTGCTGTGATTCCAACTGAAGGAGAGAGCAAATGTGTAAATATACTGGTGTTACTGGAAAGCAGGGTTTTTTTCAAGTCCGGCCACTTGGTGGACTGTTGTCCTGGTTCTTTGGCTCCTTCCTTAGAAAATTCACAAGCAGGGCCAGTGAGACAGAGTGACCACAGACAGGAAGGAATTCCACACAAACAGCTTTTATGGTAGAAAAGAAGGGAACTATACAAAGCAAGAATACGTTGCAGAGAGGAACAGTCAGTCTCCAAGAGTGGAGAAAGCCGTTGAGGACTCCCAGGTGGCTTCCTTTTATTGGCCTCGTCCAGGGAAGGGCTTGCAGGAGGTGTGGGATGTTACCAGGTGACTGATATACATGACTGACAGGTGTTCTTATAACAAAGCTGCAGCTCCACAGCTGTGTCTGCCTCAAACCCTCAAGTTCCTGCTCTTTGCGGTTGTTGGCTGTGTTTTCCCACAGTCCCTTCCCCCCTTCTCTGCCCCTATGAACCACCCTCCTGGCCTGTATCTGCCACCTGCAGATTTGGTCCCTGCCTAACAGTTTTCACTCTGGGAGAAGGAAAATACAAATATAAAATGGGGGAAGGTGAGGGAGAACTCTGTGACACTGGAATGTGAATTGAAGGTCTCTGTATAAATTGATGACTTTTCAAAAAGTATATTTCCTAGCTCTGTCCACTGACAGGACCTAGAAGCAGTAACACTTGAGTAGCAACAACCAAGTCTTGAAACCAGGTCTTGGTTTGCAAATACCATCCACTAAAAGGAACAGAAACTCCATGGAGAAATAGGTGAGTTCAGGTCTAAGGCAGGGAAAGTACAAGGCAAATCTGGAATACCTTGTTGTCTCAGAAAGCAAGAAAGCATATTTTTAAAATGAAGTTACATAAAAGGATAGGCAGCCAGTTTGAAGGAGCTCCACTAGCCAAATGTGAGATAATTTAAGTGCCAAAAATAAAAATTATGGTAATTGATTATAACACACTGAACAGTGAATATAAAAAAAATCATGAGTCCAAATGAATACTCAAATTATACTCAAAAAAAGTTGCAAGGGGAGGAAGGAGAAATCAGAAAAGGAGAAAAGGGAGGAA